TAAATGAATTACACCCAATTGGGTACTTTTCAAAGAAATTAACTAATTATCAGCAAAATTATCCAGTTACTCATCTTGAGTGTTTAGCGGTAATTGAGTCAATTAAATATTGGCACCATTATCTTTATGACCGGAAATTTACCGTGATTACTGATCATAGTGCCTTGACTTCAATTAGGAAAATCAAGAAACCAAATTCCCGCTTATTCACTTGGGCCTTTTTACTTGGTCAATACAACTTTGAAATTAAATACCGACCAGGTAGTGAAAATATTGAAGCTGATTTTCTGTCAAGAGAACCAATTTCAAATGAAGAAATTGAATCTCCTCTTCGTCTTGTTAATTTTATCAATATTGATCTAATTAAAAATGAACAATTAAAATTACAATCAAATCTATCAACAATTGTTGATAAAAATGGACTTAAAATTAAAATTGATAAAAATGGGAATGAGAGAATCATATTACCTGAAAATTTGAAAGCTCAGGTCATGAACATTGTTCATGAACAATTTGGTCATTTAGGTGTAAGAAAAATGATCACCGTAATTTCCTGGAAATACTATTGGCCTAAATTGACCAATGATATTATTAATTTCGTTGCTAATTGTCGACCTTGTCAATTAGGCAAAACTAAAAGAATCAAATTAATTAGTGACTTTGGACAATTTGGTCCACCTAAAGATTCATTTCAAATAATCGCAATTGACACAATTTGTGGGTTAGATGGATATAAGTGTAAGAAAAAGTATATCCATTTAGCTGTTGATCACTTTTCTCGATTTGTTTGGACAATTGGTTCAAATAATCAAACTGCTAATGAATTTATTAAATTAATTGAGAAAATCAAGAAAATGGGTAAACCAAAATTGATAGTTGCTGATCAATATAAAGCAATTACCTCAAATCAATTCTCTGATTATTTAACTAATAATAATATTAATATTAATTTTATTACAACTCATCAACTTCATCAATTCAATCCAAATGATTTGGTTTACATTGTAAATCGTAGTAGTATTAATAAAATTGATTGTAACCAATTCGGTCCTTTCAGAATAATTAACCAACTAATATTTATACTAAATCAGAATCTCCATTATTAATTGAACAAGTTCACTCAAAGCATTTAATCCCAATCAAATCAACATAAACCAATCCAATTCATTAATCAAATTATTTCAATTTTTCTTTCATTTAACTTTGCTTTTTCAATTATTATTAATTATTCAATAATTGTCATTATTATTTAACCAATTTAAACTAAATGTTGGTTCCAATTTATTATTATTATTACTATTAACCCAATTTCTTTTCCTCAACGAACTAACCACAGAACCACCGACCAATTGACTCCATTCACCTCTGTTTCTCGCCTCAAGTGGAGGGATGTAATGTTTCAATCAGCTAATTCAGTTGACCAAGAAAACTTTACGTTTTAAAATCTTTACAATTAGACAAATAGAAAGAAGATTTTCTTTAGTAATTTTCTTACTTTTCTCTGTCTTTTTCTTTCTATTTATTTAAAATTTATCATCTTTATCTTCTTCTTACCTTTATCCCAACAGTTTCAAATTTACAACGGTCGAGAAAAGGGTACTAATAATATTATTAGTTTTGGGTCTTTCTTGTCTCTTTCTTTCTTATCCTCTCTTCTCTTTACCTCTTCTCATCCTTTGGTACTTAACCAAAACCCTTAACCATTGAAAACCATTAACAATTTGGATCTCAATTGAGATAGTTAATCAATTTAATTTTGTTCAACAAATAAGTTTCAATCAATCTGGTTCATGTAATTCAGTTAATCATTTGTTTTAGTTGTATTACTAATAATTTGTGTCTAATTAATAATATTAATAATAATAAAAGTCTTAATTTCTTTTGGGTGACAAAATTTACTGGTGAAAACCTTACATACAATTAAGTGAAGCAAATCTACAAACAACTTCAACATTGAATATTTCCACTACAAGTGTACCAATGATATCCCTTGACCCTAATACATTAATTGAATGAAATGTGAATTATTGAGAACTATCGTCGAGCGACTAGCTAGACTAGAAGAGAGAAATGGTGATACAAATCGAGATCGAACTTCAATGAAATGTCATTACTGTAAAAGATTTGGTCATGTCAAACAAGATTGTCGTCTTTATAAAAGAGACTTAGAAAATGATGATGTATATTCTTCGAGATCGAGTAGTCTGAACCGACGAGATAATAACTCGAATCATTTCAATAATCAACAAGCAAACGAAAGTGTAGCTTATCCACAACCTTCGACGAATCTTAGTAATTGTTGTGTAACTTTGAATGAGTCATCAAATAAAACAGAATGGAGTTATGGTAATCTAATCAAAGCAACTGTCGTTATGAATAAGATTCCAATTGAAGCCGTTATTGATCCTGGAGCTCAAATCACAATCATTGACGCCAAAATCTTTGCTAAATTGAACACACCTCTATCAAATTACGATGGGTCCGTCGCTTTTAATGCTTCTGGATCAAGGTTATACCCATTAGGTTCGGTCCGGTTCGATAGGAATCTATGAAACCTTGAAAATACAATTTTAATCCAATTTTACCTACACAACCAAGTCACTCAGAACCTTGAATTTTCACACTTGACATAATCATACCCATATGTATACATGGTATCAAAAACATCGTTCTAGAAATTTTTCGACATGCTGTAGAAAACTTTCATTTTCTCCATAGACTCCTATGTAAAAATAGATTTTTGACTACCTGTATCTTCTAAACCAAAAGTTTCCGCAGAAACTCCATCCATATGTATGACCTATATGTTAAGGGCTATACACTGGAAAAGTTTCAAGACGATTTGCGAACGGTGGTGTTCTAGAGTCTTACCAAAGATTCAATTCTTAAAATGTATTTGGAATAATATTGGAAAATTGATCGAGATTAATTCAAGTTTGTCGACAAAATTACTATTAGATTATTTCATTCCAACAAATGATTTAGAAAATCTTCTTAATTCGCTTGAATCAAAGCCGCTCGATCTAATGAGAGTTTTAAAATGTTTAATTGATTGTGATCAGTCAACTAATTGGTCTGTCAAAGATTCACCGTTAATATCTAAATGTTCAATTCTATTTGAACCTTGGATCCATGAGAGATACATTGAATTACTTTGTAAATATGAACCAGATGAAGCTGCCCGTTTCTTGCAATCAACTTCAACTTATCGGCCGAAAGTGGCTCTTCAAATATGTACCAAATCGGATAATCAACAAGCTAAAGCCATTTTATATGAGAAAGAAGATAAATTCACCGAAGCATTGGATTTACTATTGGATAAATTAGACAAAGATTTAATCCTAATCAATAATGATGAGACAAGTGATCAATTGAAAGATGAACAACTTTTTAAAAAGTTATTCTCACAGTTTGAGAATTTAATTCAATTTGCTCAACGATGTTCGGAAAAATTGGACAATCCAGAGAATCGGGAATTCCTCTGGTATCCTCTTCTCCAAAGAGTGACCTCTTTCCACGAGATAACGGACAAACTTTATCCCGAATCCCGTTCATTTTCAATCGACCTGTGCAATAACATGTTCAACAATATGATGGGTTATATTTCAATGTTAACACTATTAACATGGATTCTTGAATCATCAATTACCGATAGTGAATCGATTGGACAATTTTCAAAGATTCGTTACCTGTTAACCGCCATGTTGGATGCATACAATTACGAGGCCAGTTTGTTGACCGCTTATAATGATACAATTAAAAGTGAATTGTATCGTTCATTGTCAAATTATGTTTACCTTTCTAAAAAAGGTTTCATCATAAAAAGTAACAGTAAATGTGGACTTTGTAACGGGAATTGTAATTCCTCCAGTGAGAGTTTAATTATCTTCCAATGTCATTCTTACCATGTTGATTGTTTATCGATTGATAATCGTAACCTAGGTTGTCCTCTATGTAATCAAAATTCATCGTTGATTAAATTAAAATGTAACGATGATGATGGAAGTGGATCAAAAGATCAATCTGACAACGACAAGGATCCAATTGATGAAAAACAACAACAACAATTAACAAAAAGTGCTGCTAATCAACCAATGAAAACAATTTACGATGAGTTTGTTATTGATGATATCGAGGAAATTGAAGATAATATTAATTCACTCAACAATAATCCTGATAAATTTAAAGAATGGGAAAGATTGTCTAATCATTTACGAAATGATCTAATTCCGAGACCACTTGGAAAATTAAACAAGATTCAATTAAAATCGACAATCAAACAATTTAATCAGCCCAATCTAACGTTGATTCCTCGAGGTTATCTTTCATAACTTATCAATGGTGCAATCAAACAGTATTATTATAAATAGAGATACAATTAACTGTATCACAATTAACCAAGAAAATGTGATCATGATACACAATTGATTTAACCTTTACGATTAAGATCAATGTTTGTCTTGACAAAAAAACGATTTAATTCAATTGTTGTTTTGATAACAAAATTGATTATTTGGTAATCATAATTGAATTTGTTGTTGAAAAAATATTTAAATTAAATATTAATTTCAATTTGTATTTAGTAAACAAAGAAAAACAATTAATTAGCAAGTTAATTGTGCTAAGTATTATAAAAATTGTTGCTTCTACCAATTTGTTTATATATTTTTTACGTGATTTTGATTCATAGTTAAATCATAATCATTGATTTCCCTTGAGAAAAAAAATTTGGAATCAGCTGATAATTAACGAAAAAGCTTTTCCAATGACAATATAGTTTTCTAATTTGATTAAATCTTTTTGCTCTGATTTATGATCAGATTGTTGAAAGAAAAAGCTATTAATCCGTTAGCCAGTTTTAAATCACAAAAATATAAATTGATAGAAATTAATTAATGAAAAGTTCATTTGGGTAGAATAGTTTTCACAATTAATCAACCTCATCATTGATTATCGTCTAGATTCACCAATTTAACTAATCGTGAACCTTTTGAACATTTTCACCCTTTGAACATGATCCTTTCCACTTTCGATTTGACCTTTGCTTTAATTATATATTCCATTTTCATAGCCATCATAACGACCAACGGTGTTCCTGTTTCGACTGTATCACCTGGAGACCAAAATTTTCTCGATAACACCGGGCATTGGAGCGACAACACCAGCAGCTCCATCGGAAGATTCAGTTGATCCGGTTGACCGATAATGAGGTTTAGTTTCCAGCTCGAAATTGTAACCACCTTTATCCGAAGTGAACAAGGCAACCTGACTTGAAGATGATTTAAGAAATTTGTAATTCTGAGTTAATCCATCTTCATTGACCTAATGAGTTGGTCAATGAATCGTAATTAGCCTCAAGTGTAACAAAGGTGATCCATTAAGTGAAACTGAGTATTCATTTGGTCCATGTTGTTGACCACAGCAGAGTATTTTCATCATTGTAAAGGAGAGTGAATGTTTTTGTGAGGTCATCGTTTGGTGTAACCTGAAGGCATCGGTCACCAGTGGACTGAACATTGGTGGGTAAAGATGAAATCGACGATGATGCAGCTGATGAAGCAAATACACCGATGGCGGTGATGTTAATCAACTTTGAAGGTAATTCGGTTTTAGTAAATAAAGTTGACTCTTGTTCTTTGATGAAATCGGTGTGAACTCGACCAGCAGCAAATTCTGGATGTGATGCTAAACGATGAAGGAAATTGATGTTTGTTTTCAAACCCGATAAATTGAATTTACTTAACGATGAACGAAGTTTCATTAAAGCTGAATTTCGATCTGGAGCCCAAACAACAAGTTTTGCGATCATTGGATCATAATGAACGGAAACTTCATCACCACTTCGAACTCCCATTTCAATTCTTACATTTTCTTCATGTTCAGGTAACTTAATTTGCCCCAGTTTACCTGCTCCAGGCATAAAATTATTCTCAGGATCTTCAGCGTAAATTCTGGCCTCCATTGAATGTCCATGAAGTTTAATCTCTTCTTGATATTTGGGTAAAGTCTCACCACGAGCTACTCGTATTTGCCATTCAACCAGATCCTCGAGTTATCATCTCAGTAACCGGATGTTCAACTTGAATTCAGTGTTCATTTCCATGAAATAAAATTTACCATCTTTAGGATCGTAAATAAATTCAACAGTTCCTGCGCCAACATAGTTAACCGCTTGAGCAGCTCGAACAGCGGCTTTACCCAATTCTGCTCGAGTTTCATCGTCGATTCCTGGTCCTGGTGCCTCTTCAATAATCTTCTGGTGTCTTCGTTGGACTGAACAATCTCTCTCAAACAGGTAAACACAGTCACCATGTTGATCGGCAAATACCTGTACCTCAACATGACGAGGATTAGCAACATACTTTTCAATTAGAACCGATTGATCACCAAAAGATTTAAGTGATTCTCGTCTCGCTGATTCAAGTTGAGTTATAAAATCCTCTTTAGCTAAACAGATTCTCATTCCTTTACCACCACCTCCTTTAATTGCTTTTATCATTATGGGGAAACCAATTTTCTCAGCCTCTGATAGTAATAATTGATCACTTTGATCTTCCCCATGGTAACCAGGAATTACCGGTACTCCAGCATGAGACATAATATGTTTGGCAATTGATTTAATTCCCATATCACGTATGGCTGATGCCGGTGGACCAATGAATATAAGTCCAGATGAATTAACCATATCAGCAAATTCAGGATTCTCAGAGAGAAAACCATAACCAGGATGAATTGCCTGAGCTCCGCATCTTTTAGCTGCTTCAATTAGTTTAACTTTATTAAGATAACTATCAGCTGATGGTGAATCTCCCAAGTTAATTGCTTCATCAGCCAAGTAAACATGCATCGAATCTCTATCCATGTTAGAGTAAACTGCAGTTGTTAATAGTCCCATTCGTTTAGCTGTTCTTGCAATCCTACAGCTGATTTCACCACGATTAGCGATCAGAATTTTTGATAATTCGGCTTGATGAACTGCTCGTTGAACATTAGTTGGATAATTTCTTGTAAAACTGTCAATAACAAAGAGGGAGAAACAAATAATAATAAGAGAAAGGTAATAATTACAAAACTATCAACAAAGATAATTGTTGAATTAAAGTCCATTAAATGTAATCTTGACATAGAAATTTATGAGGCTCATACAACGAGACTTTGATTCCAATATCGTATCAGATTTATTAGAAAAATTATCCCAGTAATTCAATTGTTATCAACTGACATCTTTTAAATCAGTTAATAATCAAACACAAGTACCTTGATTATATCTATGATAATTCAATGAAAGGATAATTAATTTGACTTAAGAGTGAAAATAACATCTAATGCGAGTTAACTAATTGCAGAGAAATGCAAAGAAATTTGCTGATTGTTGGTTTAAAGATTTTGGGAAATTGAAGAGAAATTAATTGTATCATGATAAATGAGAAATCGGGAAATGGTTATATTAAGAATTTCGGTTAATTGTTGAGAATTAAAATTAGAAATGAAAACAAACCTGTTGAGACGATTAGTAGATCGGAGGAAATTGGAACCATTCATGATGATGAAACTTGGAAGAGGCTTAATGTTGACTGATTTATATTAATCTGGTATTAAAAGAAAAAGAAGGAGAGAACTTAAATTGTAAACAATTAACGATGATGAGAAACGAAAACAAAGTGAGCAATTGAATGAATGGTTTGAAACAAAATGTCTATGAAAATATTACCTTGGAGATGAAAATATTAGGCTTGTTACTTTGTCTCTACTATTGATGGCTCATTATGGAGGCACTTCTAATAAATTGATTGTGATAATCACTTTAACCACAATTAAACCTTGATCATTCACATGATTAGATGAGGAAGAGAAACAGATATGGATAGAAATTAACACGTGTGATCGATTAATTGAATGTAGAAATAGAAAAATTTTAAAAAAAGTTGTTCCATCACTTTCATCAACTGAACCATCAGATTGATTGTTACCTAGAAAATTGGACAATTCAAATAAAATCAAAGAGAAAGAAAAGAAAAGAAAGAGTTAAAATGGTGAATCAATCGGAATGATTTAAATTTGGTTAGAATTTAAATTGATTGGTTGATTTGGTTTTTCTTTGTCTTGTTTCAATTGGATTTGAAAATTAACAGTTTTCACTGTTGTGATGATGAGAGGCCAATGTTTTGTGTCACAAGATTAACCGTTGATTGAAATGATGATTTATTTCAATTGTCACTTTGATCGACTAATCAACTAACCCACTAATGTTGGTTGATAAGTGCATTGATTATAATTGTTGCAATTAGATTAACTTACTGGTTCGGTTTTCTCTTTTATCGGACATTGAACGTTATAGAAGAAAACAAAGTGAATTAAAAGGTAATTAAGTTTTGTTTTTTTTTTGTTCTCTCATCAATGATTAAGGCAATTGAAATCAGGATCAGCTTTTCACCATGGGGATTAATGAATTGTAAATCAAATGACACATTAATCAAGATGATATTTTGTAATCATTAAAAAAATATTGATTAGAAAATGGAAACAGTAAAAATGGCAAGTTGAGTCAAAGACTTTGTAGTTTAATCACAAATGATTTACCTGGGCGGAAGAAAGAAAAAGGATTATGATTAGATGAAATTGAGATAAAGGGGATTTAAATTCCCCAATTGATTGAAGATTAGCAACAATTAACTTAACCTGATTAGCTTAAATAACGAAGGTAAAAGGTTGAATTGTCATTTTGATTTCCATTTCCAAACAACTTGATGTAATAATCCAAAAATTGAAACACTTTTGACATTCAATTTTCTTTCATCTTTCAACAATTCAATTGTAAAAATCTTGTCATCATTAACCATCAATTCAGTTCAGTTAATACAATCAAGTTAAATTGTAATCCATCTATAAACAATCAATAAAAGAAAAACAAACGAAAATTAAATCAAAATAACCAAAAGTAAGTCCAATGTTTATTTACCAAAACAAAACAATTTACTAACTAAATTGTCACTTACCAACCAAATTCCCTTGATCTTAACAATTTTACAATTAAATCCAAGAAAAATTTCACACAAAATTCTAATTAATCACAGAAAAAAAATCTAATTACAATTAAATTAAAATGGAAAAGGTGAAAACAAAATGGAAACAAAATTTTCCGCTCAAAAGGAATAACTGTTTTTCGAATAGATGGAGCCACTTTCGAATCGAATTTTTGGCGGTTTTTTCTTATTCTTTTTCTTAGAAGATGAAAATTGTTCTTTCATCATTTTCTCATCTTGTAAAAATTGTTTCTCTCTCATTTTGACCGTTTTTTTTTAATTTGATTTTTAAACTCTTTCAACTACCTCATCCGTTATCTTCCATCTTCCATCTTAATTACCTCACCCTTTTCTTCTCCCTCGTGATAATTTCTTTTGTTTCAGTTAACTGTTTCTCTTCATTTTCTCTCATTCACTTTACTTAAACTCTTGGTTCTATTTGCATCTTTTTCCTTGAACTGATCTTTTTCTCTCTTTCCTCATTAAACGAAATTGTTTTGTTTCTTTTTTTTTCTTCTTCTTTAATCCTTTGAATCTTGTGAATAACGAAAATGTCTTCTAATAAGATGTACGTTGTCAAGCGAAATGGTCGACAAGAATCGGTCATGTATGATAAAATTACCTCTCGAGTAGCTAAACTTTGCTATGGATTGAACATGGATTTTATTGATCCACCTGCGATTACTAGAAAGGTTATTGATGGTCTATATCCTGGTGTATCTACCGTTGAATTGGATAATTTGGCTGCTGAAATTAGTGCCAGTATGACCTCGCAACACCATGAATATGCCATTCTTGCTGCTCGAATCGCCATTAGTAATCTACACAAAGAGACAAAGAAAAATTTCACCGAGGTTATCGAAGATCTTTACAAAATGTATGATGCTGATTCTAAATCTCCTTCACCCATGATTGCTGAGAAAACATATCAAATTATCATTGCCAATTCAGAGACTCTCAATTCAGCTTTAATCTATGATCGGGATTTCAGGTAACCATAGTAGTTTTGTGATTAATTTCCCACCAGAATTTAATCAACATGTTATCTATGTAATTAAGAAATTGTTGTGTAACATTTTTCTTATCTACATATCAATGACCTTGTATTTCTGATAATGTTTGTAATTGGTTTTTATTTATTTTTGTTTTTCTTCCTCAATTGATAATATTTCTTTTCATTTTTTATCGTTGATGGTTTACAGTTATGATTATTTTGGCTTTAAAACCTTGGAGAGGTCTTATCTACTCAAAATAAAAGGTAAAGTGGTTGAAAGACCTCAGCACATGTTAATGAGAGTTGCTGTTGGAATTCATGGTGAAGACATTGAATCTGCTCTTCAAACCTATGAACTTATGTCCCAAAAATGGTTCACTCATGCATCTCCCACTCTTTTTAACGCTGGTACACCTCGACCTCAACTATCAAGTTGTTATCTTCTTACCATGAGAGAAGACAGTATCGAGGGAATCTCGGATACTCTTAAAGATTGTAACCTCATTTCTAAATATGCTGGTGGAATTGGACTTAATGTTCACTGTATTCGAGCAAAAGGAACTCGAATTGCTGGGACCAATGGTACTTCTGATGGTCTTATACCAATGTTAAAGATGTTCAATGAATCTGCTCGTTATGTTAACCAGGGTGGTAAACGACCTGGTGCCTATGCTATTTATATTGAACCTTGGCATTCTGATGTTTTCGATTTCATTTCTTTGAGGAAAAATACTGGTAAAGAAGAGATGAGAGCTAGAGATTTATTTTTGGCTCTTTGGGTCCCCGATCTTTTCATGGAACGAGTTAAAATGGATGGCATGTGGAGTCTCATGTGTCCACACAAATGTCCAGGTCTTTTTGAGGTTTATGGTGATGAATTTGTTGAGCTTTACACCAAATACGAAAATGAGAAACGTTACAATCAACAAATTAAAGCTCGATCTCTCTGGTCGGCAATAATTGACGCTCAAATGGAAACGGGTGTCCCTTATATGCTTTATAAAGACCATTGTAATAATAAATCGAACCAGAAAAATCTTGGTACCATTAAGTGTTCCAATTTGTGTACTGAAATTGTTGAATACAGTTCACCCAGTGAAGTGGCCGTTTGCAATCTTGCCTCAATTGCAATTAAAAAGTTTGTCGATGAAGCGACCCGACAATTTGACTTTAAAAAGTTAAAAGAAGTCACTAAAGTTGTCACAAGAAATTTGAACAAAATCATCGACATAAACTTTTATCCTCTCAAAGAAGCCGAAAATTCAAATAAAAGACATCGACCTATTGGCCTCGGAGTCCAAGGATTAGCTGACGCATTTCTCATGATGAGATATCCATTCGACAGTCCACAAGCTCGAAAATTGAACATTCAAATATTCGAGACAATCTATTATGGAGCATTAGAATCAAGTTGTGAATTAGCTGAAGAACTTGGTCCATATGAAACATATCAAGGATCACCCGCTTCCCAAGGTATCTTACAATACGACATGTGGAAAGCTGAACCAAGTGACCTTTGGGATTGGGCAGAATTGAAAGCTAAAATCGCTAAACATGGTCTTCGAAACAGTTTACTTCTTGCTCCCATGCCAACCGCATCAACTGCACAAATTTTGGGAAACAATGAATCGATTGAACCATATACCAGTAACATTTATACACGACGAGTACTTTCCGGTGAATTTCAAGTTGTCAATCATCATTTGGTTAAAGATTTAACCGAACGTGAACTTTGGACTGATGATATGAGGGAGAAAATTGTTTTCCACCGAGGCTCAATCCAAGCGATCGATGGTATTCCCGAAGATATCAAACAATTGTACCGAACTGTTTGGGAAATCCCTCAAAAACATATTCTAGAAATGGCCGCCGATCGTGGAGCCTTTATTGATCAAAGTCAATCGTTGAATATTCACTTCGAACGACCTACCGTTGCTAAAATGACCTCAATGCATTTCTATGGTTGGGAACTTGGTCTTAAGACTGGAATGTATTATCTACGCAGTAAACCCGCAGCTAACGCTATTCAATTTACCGTTGATAAGAAAAAAATGTCGCAAACAATTAAACAACAATCAACCAAACCAACCCCAGAGGAACCAACGGAAGAGGAAATATTTACCTGTTCTATTCAAAACAAAGATGGTTGTCTAATGTGTAGTGCCTGATAAACTAACGAAAGTCCAAATTTTACTTAATTGTTCTTAATTGTGTTCCTTATCATGTTAATCATCTTCCATATCTCACTTTTTATACTCTTTTTTTAAAAAAGCAAACTTTCAATTGCTAAATTGTTCTCATTAGTTAACACAAAACAAAACATTCATATTTTAATTTCTTATCGAATATAATGTTTGTAGTCACAATTAATCAAGTACATAGCAAAATTTTGTTACGAAAAAAACTAAATTGCTCAATAAACAATCAAACAATTTAACTAATCATTTTTCCACTTAATTGTATCAAAACCTAACCAAGCCAATTGAATTCATTTACTAATTTAGTCATAACGATAAGTTAATCAACTTTTGATAATCACGTTCACGAAAACTTTTATCACCAATCAACTGATTGTGATGAAATTCAACAGTAATTACCAGTTGAAAACAATTAAAATCCAAAGCTAATTTCATTCAAATTTTATTGACGTTTCAATTACAATTAAAAGGATCACAATTAAGCTTAATCAAATCGTCACTAGCTAATCAACATTGATAGTAATTGTTGATTTAATCTTTCATTAAAAATAAATCAACCTTTTAATTGTAACAGTGTTTTTGGCGTTGACTGATAAAATTCAAGTAATTGATTGCAATTAAATTGTTACCAATAAGAAATTAGTTTCTATCATCAGTTAGTTAATCAACTAAATTATGGACTTGACAAGACTGACCCTTGACCGATTCAAGCCAATGTAAGTAAATCTGATTTGTCTTTAATACTGATTATATTCAAACCTTTTATCAATTTAATTATTTCAATTGTCCAACCAAAAATCAACTAATTGTGATTAAAATGAGTAGACGATTATCATCAGACAAGATTAATAAGAAAACATTTCAAAATTTGTTGTCAAGACAAAAATCAACAATTGTAATAACTTTAACTCTAACAACTCTCAGTTTAAATTTGCAAATAATTTAATCACAATTAAGTAAATTAATTAATCTTTTCAACTAATTGTAACAATTTGTTTCGTCCGTTGAAATGAATGGACTTTATGTGTTATCCAAAATACCAAGAGAATCGTAAGTAAATCAAATTGAATCAACTGTAATTCTAATCTCAACAACAATCAGCTCATCATTTGACACTTTTCTTCCCTACAATTAACTAATTGTCTTCCTTAATTATTATCATTAACTGTCCAGTTCATTGAAAGCCAAAATAGGTCAAGGTGTTCCCGCTTTGAGACAGAAATTAAAATTAATTTGTAAAGATAATCCAGTTACCGAGGAATTGTTTATCAACGTCTTACCCTCTAAGAATGTGAGTGATTAACCAACAACAATTAGTTAATTTCTCGATTTGCTTGGATTTCCTAATTGTTTGATCCTTTTTCAGCCCGAATTCCCGAGGAAATTTTTCCGACTAGTCACCAAGAACAAGACTACAATTGAACAGGAGAGACTCGTTAAGAAGATTGTCAAATTAGCAAAGAGCGAAGATGCAATCAAATTAAAATGTCTCTTTGAAATCTACGATTTTAATGGTTAGTAAATTGTTACCGATTTTAAAACTGTTTACATTTTTCTTTTCGAATTTTTTCCCCTCGAATATTTTCAGACGATGGTACATTGTCCTTCGACGAGGTTGGATGTTTACTACGAGCTTGTATGGCAGAAAATGGTCTACAATTTACCGAAGATGAGATTGACCAGTTGACCGCAACCTTTATGGAAGAAGCTGACCAGGACAATTCGCAAACAATTGACTTCGTCGAATTCAGATCACTTCTTAATCGTTACGAGGCTTTAGTTGAATGTATGTGCCGATCATTTGAACGATGGATGTTACTAAGTCCAGCCGAATTCACGACAAAATCGACTAAGAAAGTGTCCCTGTGGCAAATTGAGTACATTAGAAACAACGCTCTAAGTGTCATCACCTTGACCATTTACGTTTTATTCAGCGCTGGACTTTTCTTTTGGCGAATCGCTTATTTCACGGTACAAAAGTCGAACCCTTTTATTACAATCGCAAGAGGTGCAGGTAATCAGAGTGCCCATTGAATTTTGGCTTAATTGTTATCAACAATTAGGTGTAAACATTAATTTCTATTCTCTTCCTATTTTATATTAGGAATGCTTCTTAACTTTAATTGTGCTCTCATAATGTTGTTCATTTTACGACGAAGTATAACTCGACTTCGTATTTTGGGCTTTGCATCGTACCTACCACTCGATAAGAATATTAAATACCATAAATTCTGTGGTTATATTATTACATTTTTCGCTCTTCTTCACACATTCGCTCATCTCGGTAATTATGGTAAGTTTGATTGATCGCAATTCGCTCAATGGTTTTCTAATCTGTTCGAGTTTTACTTTTAGCTCTAATCTCCGCCGAAACTGGACAACCTTATGTGCGAATGATTTTTAGCGCTCATCCAGAATATTTTACCTTCTTCTTTGGTGCTGCGAATATAACTGGATGGGTTTGTTTGGGTTCTTTGTTTATTCTTGTTCTTTCCTCGCTTCCCTTTGTCAGAAAATCTGGACATTTCGAGGTATGAATTTATCGCTAAAGAAGAAAACATTTAGAACCAATCTAAAGATCGTATTTTCTTTTTAGATATTCGCTTATTTCCATTTGTTCTACATCGTCTTTTGGTCAGTTCTACTTCTTCATGGACCCAAATTCTGGATCTGGTTAACTGTTCCTGGAATTTGTTTCATTATCGAGAAGGTTCATTATTTCTCGAGTATGATGGGCGATTCTGGGAATAGTTATATTGTTAGATGTCGAATTTTACCTTCGAAAGTTAGTCATTTAGCTATTCGTCGACCTAAACATTTCGATTATCATCCTGGCGATTGGGTCTATATTCAGATACCAAAGATCTCTTCATGGGAATGGCATCCGTTCACCATTAGTAGTGCTCCAGAAATGCCCGATGTTATATTCCTTCATATTCGCTCTGTCGGCGAATGGACAAATCGATTGCATTCATTACTCTTGGAACAAGAAGAGGCCGGATTATCTTCGATTAAAAAACCATCGGTGAATGTCAAATGTCCAGATTTAGCGGTTTCGATTCCACCTACACCCAAATCGATTGCATCTCAATCATCAATGAGTTCTAATGAGATTACAGAGACTCCGTTTATGATTCGTCGAGGAAAAGTTCGTTCACCAACGAATCGAGAACAGTTATCAAGCTATCGACAAGTTATTCAAGATCTTACAGATCGATTAGGATCCATAGTTAGTGCTAATGCTTCAACCAGTTTCCAAGTGATTCAATTTACCCGACCAATTGGTCGGTGTTGCGATGACGATGACGAGGCTCGATTTTATGCTTTTAAGGACAATGATCGAATCGACGCTTTAGAGGTCACATCAATGATTACCGGCGAAAAAGTTGTCTTGAGTTCAACACCAAAGCCAATCAATAGTTCAAAAAGTTCATCGGTAAAATCGATGAAATCAATTTCTTCACAAGGTTCGAGTTTCAAAAACTTACCTGGAACTTTGATTCGAACACCACTTGAACTTCCAGTTCGCCTTGATGGGCCTTACGGGTCACCATCGTCTCACATTTTCAAAACCGAACACGCAGTTATGATCGCAACGGGAATCGGTGTGACCCCGTTTGCCTCAATTCTTCAAAGTATAATGTTCAGATACGCTAAATCGAAACACACTTGCCCCCAATGTAAGCATTCATGGTCGGACGCTGTACCGACCGATATCATGAGGTTAAAAAAGGTCGACTTTATTTGGTTAAATCGAGATCAAAAGTCATTGGAATGGTTTGTCCATCTATTAACTCAACTCGAAATGACCCAAGCAGAAATTGATTCGAAAAATCGATTCTTGGACATTCACATTTTCATTACATCGGCTTTGGATGCTGCCGATATCCGAGCACTTGGCCTGCAATTGGCATTGGGATTAATGCACGAAAAGAAAGAGAGAGACCTGATCACCGGATTACGAACAAAAACCAAACCCGGAAGACCAAATTGGAACCAGGTAATTATAAGTATAGTAAACTAATTAACTTGAAATTTCCACAATTAACTAAAAACTTCTCTTATAATTAGCTGTTCGATACCATCAATGTCTCGAAAAAAGGTAAGGTCACAACATTTTACTGCGGTGCTCCAGTTCTGGGAAAACAATTACATAACCTTTGTAATCAATATGGTTTCAATTTCCACAAAGAAATTTTCTCTTAATTAATTTGGAGAAAAATGTAAATTACAATTAACGTTTCATGTAATCATGTTGATCTTTTTTTTGTCTCGAATTTGAATTTGTTTTATCACAATGAATTTTTGCTTCTCCCACTCAATTTGATATTGTAAATATAAATTGAACATCGAGAATATAATAACAATAAATTATATACAATGTATGAGTTAATTGACTTTAAAAAGAGAAACAATTTTCTTTACAATTAGTTAAACAACAACAACAACAACAACAAGAATAATAATAATATAAATGAAATGATATTGAGCATTTTGATTCAATTCTTTGCCTGTGGTAACAATTTATGGCGGTAATTTCTCAACACTAACTGGATCAACGGGAAGAGTTTTATCTGTATCAAGATCAACTGGTGGGCTAATTTTTTCTTGCTGTTTTTGACCGGAAGACGAATTATTATTACTACTATTATTATCATCGTCATCTTGAATCATCTCCATGATGAAATGAGTTGATGACCAAATTCTGAAACCATTTCTCAAGGCAATTAAAGCACCAAATAGTAAAAAGCCAAATAGAAGAGCGTAAAATGTTGTCCATAAAAGTAGAATGATTCGTAATCCTTGTGATACCTCTTGATATGATGTATAAAATTGTAGATAACCGATTAGGACAAGGTAAGAAAGGAAAAGGAAAAGACAAGAACCAATGACAATACCAATTAGAGCTCCTTCATTGTCAATTAAATAGTGGAAAAAGTGATCAGGTTTCCGTGTAAAGAAAATACCTGAATAGGGTTGTTTACATACTCCACATTTATCCGAGTGTTTAATATCCATCCATTGTTTGAGACAAATTTTATGAGAATATTTTTGGCTTCCCTTACATTCACAAGGAATAATTAAATTCTTTGAATTATCTGATTGTAAACAAATCCGACATTCTAACAAATCCGTTGATTGATTTTCCATCATGTTTACCAAATCAAGAACGAAACAAAAACAAAACTCAATTTAAGATGATCACATTTAGAATGGAGCAAAAAATAAACAATTTCGA